GGCCCTTTTCTCGCGCCCCACAGCGCCCCCGGGGGTGGCACGGCGCCCCTTCGCGCGCGCCCCGGGGTGCTTCCCCTTCCCCTCTCCCCAGCCATGGCCCCCGCGGCTTAGACGCCGCCTCCGCCGCCGCCGCTCGGAGCAACCCGGGGGCCGGATGGACGGGGCCGCGGGGCCCGGTGAGTACGGGGCGGGGCGGGCGGCGTGCCCCTTCCCGGAGCGCCAGTGCCCGACGGCTGTCTGCTGGCGTCCCCGCGGGCTCCTTCGCCCCAGGGGCTCGGAGCATCCTCCACAGCTCCTCAGGTCGCCCTCCCTAGTTACTCGGGTGCTCCTACTGTCATTTCGGACTTCCCCGACGTCATTCTACCTCCCGTGTGACTCTGGGTCCCTTGATGTTTCCCTGCCCCCTACGTTGCTTTGGGCCTTTCTTCTGGTATTTTGGATCTTTTTACTCCTGACCCCTGCTGTTACCCTGGGACCTTCGTTATTATTCTGCTCACCACTGATACCCTCTCCTGTCACTCTGGATCTCTCTTCCCATACTTGGTCCTCCGTATGACTCTCTCTCGTGCCCTCTCCTGTCTCCCGGTGTCCCCGGCACGGTTAACTTTGCTTTCGCTGGAGACCTGAGCTTGCTGGCCTGGGGTGGGGTGGCTGCAATCCCTCACCAGCACCACGCCTCTCTCTGTGGCTCCCACGTTCCTCGGCAGCACTCCATATTTCCCCCTGGTACTCCATGGTACTCTCTGTCTTTGCGGAGGCTGAGACGGCAGCAGGAAGGGAGCTTTGCCAGGTTCCTCGCCTGCCCTGCCAGAAGGAGGCCCTTGATCCTCTGCCACCCGTCTCCTCCCCTCTGGACAGCCTCCAAGCTTGGGGCTCCTTAAGGGGGCAGTCCCAGTGGACGAATGTAAAATTGTGGGGGACAGAATCCCCTCAACCCTTTCTCCAGGTGGTGGGTACATTTTGAGTGCTTCTTGCCCCTTTCCCAGGTGAGGGCCATGCTCAGGAGGCACTGCAGTCCTTGAGCCAACGGCTTCGGGTGCAGGAGGAGGAGATGGAGCTGGTAAAGGCAGCCCTGGCAGAAGCCCTTCGCCTGCTGCGCCTGCAGGCGCCCCCCACCTCCCTGCAGGGCTCTGGCATACCAGCTCCTACAAGGGACAGGTATGCATGTCAGCACACCTCATTCCTGCCCCTTCCTCTGCTTCTGGGGTATCAGGCTGATTCTGTGTCTCCCTGGCAGCCCTGCAGCATCCCTAGGACTGCCACCGACATGCAGCCCCTCTTTGGTGAGCCGAGGCACCCAGACAGAGACAGAGGTGGAGATTGAGCCATCCCTTGGACCCCCTGGCCTGAGCAATGGGCCCCCAGCCCCTCAGGGGGCCAACGAAGAGCCAAGTGGGACTCAGTCTGAAGGAGGGGGCAGCAGCAGCAGTGGTGCTGGCTCCCCTGGCCCCCCAGGAATCCTCAGGCCTGTGCAGCCCCCGCAGCGCACTGACACGTAGGTGTCCTGTGGTGCAGACTGGGAGGGGTGGGAGGATGGGGGAGCACAACTGGAGGGAATGACCTTTACTTGCTTACTATGCCCCCACCAGGCCACGGAGAAATTCTTCCTCCTCCTCATCCCCCTCGGAGCGGCCTCGGCAGAAACTCTCCAGGAAGGCAGCTTCCTCGGCTAACCTGTTGTTGCGGTCAGGGAGCATGGAGAGGTGGACACGGCTCCCATCAAACCACCCTACCCAGATTCAGGCTCTTGACTTTCCACATCCCTCACCTCTCTTCCCTGGGTGGGGCGGGGGGACCCACTGCCCAACAGGAAGAAAGGAACAGCACTCCTGGGGTGCATGCTGTGTACTGGCACTGTGCTAAATCCTCAACTTCCTCCATCTCATTCAGTCCCCACAGCATCCTTGGGGGGTAGGGGGGTTCATGCTGTCCATTGCACAGGTGAGGAAGTAGGCTCAGAGAGGGTAAGTCATTTGCTTGGGGTCACACAGCTAGAGTCAGAATTTGAACCTAACTCTTTCTGACTCCTGCCCTTTCCACCATTTCACAACACATCTTCCAAGATTCCAAGTGACTTTTCCAAAAGCTGTCATGATTTTCATGGATGGCTGTCCTCAGAGCTTCAGCCCTCCTGCCCTCTCAATCTACCAAGTACCCATCTACTTACATCTAGAGGGCAAGGGAACATCCTAGTGTCTGAACATAGTTGTCTCAGAGTGTGTACAGGCCCCAGGACACCTGAATGTTCATTCTAGCCCTGTCCTTGGCCTCTGCTTTATTCTCTGAAGAAGTATTATCACCTTATCACCTGATCATGGTGATCTCACCTGTCACTTTCCTCTTGAGAGATAAGAACTTTCTTGCTCACCTGCTAGATCCTTGTACTTTCTGGATTCACTTTGGTCCCATTTTACAGATGGGGACATGAAAAGGTCAGTAGCCAGAGGTCTGGTGGTCTGGAAGAAAGAAAGGGCTCTGGCACCCTGCACTGCCTCTTACAAGCTTTGTGGCCTTCTGCTGTGCACTTAGCCCCTTCAGCCTCAATCTTTTTATCTCTTAAGTGGAACTAAAAGTCCCCATCTACTCTAGGGCCCTGCCACTCACAGTGCATACTACAAGCCTGCAGAGGTGACTGTGGCCTCTGGAGTAGCCTCCTTTTTCATGTCCTGCCCCTTCTGCCTCAGGTCTTGGGACCTGATCCCAATTCCTATGCTGTTTATTCCTAACAGCCGTGGTGGGAAGGACCCCCTCTCCAGCCCTGGGGGTCCCGGATCTCGGAGGAGCAATTACAATTTGGGTATGTACAGAGAGACAGAGGGAAGAAGTTGGATGATGGAGTTAGGCTTTGGGCTACAGCCCCAAGAATTATTTGGGGGGACCTGTGAGGTACGGCGGGTGGAGTTCTGCTCTGGTTTTGCTGGAAGGGAGGCTGCAGGGTGGTGGTTGACACCCCCCCCTTTTCTCTGTAGAAGGCATCTCAGTGAAGATGTTCCTTCGTGGCCGCCCCATTACCATGTACATCCCATCTGGCATCCGCAGCCTTGAGGAGCTGCCCAGCGGCCCACCCCTGGAGACCCTCAGCCTTGACTGGGTGTATCCTGCCCCCTCCAGTCCCATGGGAACTGCTCTTCCTACCTTGGGACCACCCCCACTTTACAGTTATCTCCTGGGTCAATGGGGACAGGGAGCCCTGGGAATCCTTCCCTACCATTCTTCTTCCGATGGCGCTGCCAGCCAGAAGTCTGTCTCTCCTCTTCCTCCTTCTGCCCTTGATCTGACCCTTTCCTTGACAGTGATCCCCACCCGAGTTATGGGTACAGGGGTCGTGACTCCCGCTCTAATCTGTTTGTGCTGCGCTCTGGGGAGGTGGTCTACTTTATCGCCTGTGTGGTGGTGCTGTACCGTCCTGGGGGAGGCCCAGGGGGTCCTGGAGGTGGCGGCCAGAGACATTACCGGGGGCACACAGACTGCGTTCGATGGTGAGGGGCCTGGGGCCTGGGGATGGTGGGTTTGGCAGGAAGAGGGTCTGGGTGGGTGTGGAGGAGCAGGAGAGAAGAGTCGCCTTACTGCTCTGCAAGCATGGAGAAAGTGTGTCGGGTGGCCTTAAGAGACCCCCTTCCCTAGAGTGTCTCTTCCCCTACTTAGCCTTGCTGTTCACCCTGATGGTGTTCGGGTAGCCTCAGGACAGACAGCCGGAGTGGATAAGGATGGAAAGGTAAGGCCGAAGTCAAACACCAGGCAGACAGGATGAAATTCCAGCCCAGGTTTCCTTCACACCCCTGACCCCTTCTCCTCCACCAGCCTCTGCAGCCAGTGGTTCACATCTGGGACTCAGAGACACTGCTGAAGCTGCAGGAGATTGGACTGGGTGCCTTTGAGCGGGGTGTGGGGGCCCTGGCCTTTTCAGCTGCGGTGAGCTGGCCCCCAAACCTCTAGACCCCCATTCTTGCCCAGGAACCTCATTCTTGCACCTGACTGGGAGCCTCAGAAGTTCTGGCCTCCTGAACCCCACCCCGCCAGTTCTTCTGAGAAAGGAACACGCATCAACTTCTGCCCTCTTGATCTGTGATGGAACCCCCTGTCTAATGACCACGAGCCCCCAGACTTCCAGGGCTCAGCCAGCCCCTCTGATATACATCCCCCATCCTCAGGATCAGGGTGCTTTTCTTTGTGTGGTGGATGATTCCAATGAGCACATGCTGTCGGTGTGGGACTGCAGCCGGGGAACAAAGCTGGCTGAGATCAAGGTGAGGGGTCCAGGTCTGCAGGGGCTCTGAGGTTGGGGGGATGGGAGTGGTGGAGTGCAGAGAGCTCCAGAATTACCCACACATTTGCTTCCTTTCTGGTTGGGTCACTTGGGGCAAACCTCCTAGCCTCCCTGAGCCTTGGTTTCTC